TGTTAAAATATATTTTTATAAATTTACAAAACTAAACAGCCTACAATATTTTCACAGTCTTTATTTTACAGTTAAAATATGTTTATCAAATAAAGTCTAATGTTATAACTAATCGAGGATCCGTTTAAAGATCTGAGTTTGAAACTTTGGCATCATGTGTTGGAGTCAACCCAGTTTAACTAAACTAATACCACTTTAGCTAATACAAAAATGGCTACAACTTGGTCAGTTTTACAGATATGGAGCTAAATCTTAATACAACACATGACAAAAGTCATATGCTTTTAACTAACAGATTGGRTGGGGATGTTTTGTTTTAAACTTTTGCATGTAAGGAAGAGAAGTGCTAGGCTTTTCATTGGCGCTAATGTCTCCTTTCCCAGGCGAAGGCTATGACAAAAACCTAAAGGAGATCCTGGAAGCAGAGATCCTGCCCCTGGTTGAAGAGTTTGACCAGAAGCTGAACAACGGTAAACAAATTTCACTTCTCTTGAAGCTGCATCAGTAAATGAGTTGGAATTTTTAAGCAAGGTCAAAGACCAAGAGTTGTAAAAAAATAAAATAAAAAAAAGACTATGATGCCCTAAAGCTTGCAATTCACAAAGATGCATTGAGCCAAATATTTCTGTCCTCCCCCTCCTCCTCCTCCTCTCCATCCATCAGAGAGCGTGTATGAGACAAGGTTGCAGACAGCAGCAGACAATTTCATCGCAGCTGCCTCCAAACTGCCTAGAGGTGAGATGCGGTCTCTACCTCTTTTCCTTCATCATTTCATCTAAAGCGAGGCACATATTGGGTCATTACAGCTCCCTCTGAACTCTTTAATCTCGCTGTAATGATCTAGTTATTCTCAGGTTCTGTGAAGACTAAAGGAAGCAGTCAGATTCACCTGACTTACTTAGAGATGCTGCAGTAAATCAGATAAAGAGAGTAAAATATCTGTTTCTTTTTCTTTTTCGCAGTTTCTGGGTGTTTCCCTCCGTGCGGTTAGTGCCTTTCTGGTTGTTTTTTTTTTATTATTACTGTTTCCTCTTCTTCACATTTTAATCAAAACGAACCCAGTTTTCTGAGTGCCAGCTTCACGCTCTCCATCAGGTTTTCAGATCTTAGGTGCCGTGTACAACTGCATAACCTGCCAGTACGACTCCTGTGAATTCCCCCTCGACTGTCCAGGTGAGATTTGGTGCATCGCCATTTTCATATTTGTAAAAAGAGGACATGCTAATCCAGACTTGACACATCCTTAAATATCTATATTTTCACACTCTGTAAGTCCTGATCCCTGCGAGGCTCTGCTTTTGATCCTTCAAAAAGCTCTTAGGAGTGGGGGAAAAAAAGTCAGGATTTGAAACAGAGACGGTGGAAAGGTTCTATTTCCACACATTATATCTTTTACACAGAGCCCTGGAGGTATTCTTTAAGTCACTGGCTTCTTTATGTAAGGTGACGGCTGACTCCCACACACACGATGGTATTCCTATCACCCCTGCACAGCTCAGCCGATGTTTTAGCATATCATCACTTTTACTGCACTCCTCAGAGACTGGGCTTAAGTATTATCATTAAGAAAGGCTCAGACTGCAAGCKCTGCCCCCTGTGAATGTTATCTGTGCGTGTGTGTGTGTGTGTCTGTCTGTGTGTGTGTGGGTGGTTGGGTGGGTGGCCTCGTGCATATTCCAGTCGAAGACATTGAAGTTATGGAGAACAGCAGGAGCCGAATGTGGTGCGAGGTGCCTTTTGACCTGCCCGCTGACATTGAGGTGATCTGGAGGTTTGCAGAAGAGGTAAGCTCAGCATCTGATGATTCATGCAGGGGCAGCACTTATTCATTAAGATTATACCTCAGTGTTGTGTTAACACACAAAACAGCTCTGTTTCTAGGTGTTACAGCCACTGTTTTAGTACTGGAAATGAGATCCTAACCGAGCAAAAAAAAAAAAAAAAAAAAGATTACGTGAAATGACTAAAAGACAAAATGAGCAAAGAGATGAAAACACAAAACTAATGAGATAGAAAAAGTGGCCACAATGCAATAAAATTGTCATAAATTGACACAAGATCATCAATAGATGCAAAATGATTCAAATAAAACAATGAAGCAACATATGAGGAGACATAAAATAACCACAAAGACTGAAAACAAGCAGWGAGGAAAAACGGCACAAAAAATRTCCGKTGCCAAGTGTAAAATAAAATGTTGAAAAATGTCACTAACACGTTTTCATTATTTAGCCCACTTTCTGAGTGTTAAAATTATTTTCTATTAACATTTTATTTTTGCTCAATGTTCTTACATTTTGCTCTTTTTACTACATAATTTAAAAGTATACGTGAATCTAAAAAGCAGCTAGCTATCATCCTGGTTAGCTAACGCTAACCGCTGCTAACGCTTCCGATACTGCTGAAGGTGACATTTCAAATTTAAATTCAAAATGTGTTTCGTGACAATAATATGGATGGTACCTGTGGTCCGGCAATTTGAAATGCAGCTCAGACTCTGCCCACAACTGCAAATTTGAAATCATGTAAGGAAGCTTTAGCTTGGTTCAAGCGTTAGCAGCCTTAGCGGTTCCTTCTGTCTCAGGATGACGATGTGCTCGACTAGGAGCAGAGCATTAATGATAGCAGGGGCTGCTTTCCATTCTGACATACTTAAATGTTAACTTCAACATTTAAGATTTCATTTTTACGTTTACCCCTGGATTGGCGGACTGGGGTGGTGGTCCCCCTGTTTAAAAAGGGGGACCAGAGGGTGTGCTCCAATTACAGGGGGGTCACAC